TCTTTGTGTTCATGTTATTGTGTTTCAATGCGTTGGTTTTAAAGTCATTCGGGTGGTTCGTTGCAAACTGTTGTGCATAGTGCAGTTGAGCGCCGAAGCGACAGATCTGGTCACCAACATTATGGCCAAAGGTGTGACAGCATGTGCATTGTACTTTGTTTTTGTATTCAAATTTTCTACGTTGATGTGTGTCGACTCTGTTAATCATGCTTGTCGGTGGGCGTTGGTGTTTGGGAGTAATAGCCGGATTTTCCAACAGGAAGTTTATGATTGTTGTGAGTTGGAGATGTTGCGGTACTGGTTTGTTGTTTGCATCCTTTGTTTGTYGTCTGTAATCGTAGAGCTGTCCTAAGAGGCAGCAGCCGGCTGAGTAATTGTGGTTCCTCATGGTTTGGTACACCAGTTCATGGCTTTGTTCGAGATCAGTGTAGTGATGTTTATGACTGAGTTTGCATGTTCGTACAAAGTCAAGCAGCTTGCCTACGTATGTACCGGGGTCATCAGTTGTCACCCATTCAGGGCCCCAGCCATTTCTTGTTGGTCTAAGATACTCCAGTGAGTTCCTGGCCATGGYATATAGGGCATCGTATCCATTGCTCTGTATCGCATAGGGGGCAATGAGTCCACGGAGATGTGTGTGGTCCTGTGGAATCAATCTTGAAAGGCGGCGGTAGATGTATGTACTAATTTTCCTGATATTAGTCGGGGATTCATTGTGCTTGGGGGGTAGACATGTTTCTAAGACTGGTAAGTCTTCAATGGGGACAATGGGGAGACTTTCCAGACACATCATGGTTTGAAGATCATTGTATAGTGCTGTAAATTCAGCAGAGGTGAGATATCGATTCGTTGGTGGCATGATGTTGTGGTCAAAGTCTTTGTATTCCATGGCGTGGATAGCTTTACTAATACGGTGATTTTGACTATGTAGAATGTCCTCATCAATTTGCTGTTGTTGTTTGTTGGATAAAGCCATGTTCGATTTGGCATATGCTTGAAACTTGATGTCACTATCGCATTTGTCATCCTCATCCAAGGAAGATTTGTCTGAGTTATTATCTGTGTTATCATCAGGGTCATCGTCAGGGTCAGGGTTGGTTGGGGGTTGAGAGGATCTTGTTCGCGTTGCTCGAGTGCTTGTCAGGGAGCGGTTGGTAGGTCTCTCTTGTGATTGACGATCGTTGGGTTTAGTATTTTTGCTGATGTTCTCAGTGAGCTTTATTTGGATGAAGTCCTTGAGTGTTTCAGATGTGTTCATGTAGGTATGAATGGTGTTGTTGACTGTTTCTTGAAAGTCGTTGGATGCGATAATAGATGAGATGGAGGATTGAACTTGGTCCACGATCGTGTCGCTTACCRTACTGTCTGTTTCTATATGGTGCTGTACCGACCGTTCAATGTCCGATGTGGCAACAGCCTTCGTTAGTTTGATATTATCCTGTGCAGATGCTATTGCATGATCCAATTCCGTGGCCATAGTTTGTTTGTGGGAGGTAAGTGTTGCCATGTGGTTCTTGCACAGTTGTTGTAAGTTGTTTTTGGTCTTAGCGAGGTCAGTGCGGACCTGAGTGAGCGTGGTGGTCGCTTGGTCCGTGATCTCGCGTTTAGCCTGTGCGACAACCGTATCCTTAAGACTTTGGACTATTGTGTTTTTATGTTCCAGCTTGTCATTAATCATGTCCGTGATGGTGCTTTCCATCCGCTGTGTGTGGGTTTGGATGGTGTTGGCAATTTGTGCTTCAATACTGTCTCCCACGGTGCGTAAGTTGGATTTGCTTTGTTCCACGATGGCTTGGAGTTGTTCCGCAAGTTCGGTACTCATGCGGGGAGATTTGGATGTAATACTGCTCGTTTCATCATACAGTTGTCGGAGGTGAACGGTTTCATTCTTGATTGAGGTAAGAACGGATGTGGCTTTGGTTGTCCTTTTGTCGAGGGCCCAAGCTGTATTCGCAGATTGTTCTATATCTTGGCGTAGTGCTTTATTGAGGTTCATTGCTTGTTCCAGAGTGTTCGATTGTGTTTGGAGCTGTTGCTGGAGGGTAGCAATGGTCTCTAGGGCTTTGTTCAATGCAGTTTGGGTCCTGGTGAGTTCTGTATTGGTGGCTGTGAGTGATCGTGTGTATTGAGCTTGCATCTGTTGTATACGAGTATCCATTGCTGCAAATTGGTGTTCGAAGCGTGCAGTTAGCTGGGTTGGAGAGTCTGGGCGATGGATATTTCTGGTGGATTGTGCAGTGGTAGTGGTTGAGTCGAAACTGTCTTTGAGTGACTGCAGTTCCGTGTCGATAGTCTTGTAATCTTCATTGTATCCTGTGATGCGTTCTGACATGGTTGTGGATTCGTCCTCATCCCCAGTGTGTTGGCGTTCCGCAGCGAATTGCTGCTGGAGGAGTCTCGCTGATGGGGGTTTGTTGGAGGAGTCAGAGTCAGTTTGGATCGGGTCTTCTGCAAGGTCCTGGTCTTCATCGTTGTTGTCGTCCTGTTGTATGTCGTCCTTCTGTTGTGTATCATCCTCCTCTTCATCCGAGGGATCAGGGGTTGGGATGAGATGTTTTGGTGGTCGTACAGTGCGTCTTGTTGCAATGGTAACAGGTGGCAGTTCTTTGTCAGGGGGGAGGACCTTGTCCATGTGAGTAATGAAGGCATTACTGTATTTGTATCGGAGGAATCCTGTGGGTGAGTCTTTTGGGGAGCTGTGGAAGTGGTTCCGATGAATAAGAATGCTGAGTGATTTGCCTAGTGCAGCGATCTTGTCGGTGTCCTGTAGTTCCTGAGTATGAATCAGTGTGAGGTGTGTCTTGTATTCCTCGGCAGATGGGGGAGACCGTGGTTTGAATTGGAATAGGTTCGTTTTGTATACATGCGCCGGGGATGAGTTGAGGGGAAAGATGAGCTGTATAACTCTTATCTCACGTTGAATCGTGCCGTGGTAATAGTTTAACTGAAGCCGTCGTGGGCTTGTCGTTGTTTTTGAAGGTGATCAAGTGAGATAGCGTCCCATTGGCGATCGGCCCCCTTGATGGGTCTTTCGACCTGAAGATGGGGTTGATGGGGTCTTCTTCTTCCTACTATTGGGCATGGTGTCGACTTTGTGTTGTGGAACAGCTGTCGATACAGTGTTGTTGAGGATTGTGACACGTTACGGAGTGTCAAGTTTAGTGTTCGGAGTTCTTTGTACCGTAGGATCTACGTGATTTAGTACTGGGTTCTCCTCCGGGAGTTTTCGCAAAAACTGACACGGGAAAAAGACTCGATTCGGAAAGCTTTATCTAGTTCTCCTGATCGAGGGGGAGCTGTAAATCATGCTGCTCCGGTGGTTTGACTTACAATGGTGTTGATGATGGGTCGATGAGCTGAGGTAAGTCGGTTGTTGCTCATAACCTGCAAAATGTACGTGTGCTCTTTAGTGTTGCATAACTACRTGTTTACAATAAAGAGTGCGTTTATTCACTATCTATTCGGGATTGAGCCTCMCAGAGTTATCGTAAACTTAAAAATCATATGGAGATTGCCGGAATCGAACCGGCGACCTTGTGCATGCTAAGCACACGCGCTACCAACTGCGCCAAACCCCCTTGACCGCTCAAAAGAGTGGATACAGAGTATTTATATTSCGTGAAGATTCACATGAGATGACGTTGAAACGGTAACAATACAAGTAATTAAAATAATGACACATTCAACATGCTGTCCTTCGAATCCAACATAGCTCTCAAAAAACGTCAATTGACCGAAAAACAATGGGTACGTACCACACATCACAATCCCAGCCTCGACCTGGTGTGGTGAATTATTATCAAGGGCACCATATTTGAGCGTTCGATCAAATTCAGAATAAAAGTACTTCATAATTGTCATCAACTGCCTACCTTGGCAACCATTTATTGCTTCGGATCAGTATGGATTTTACTAGCAGTCGGAGGGGAACAACTTCAATATATTGGAGAACACAGCAATTCACCTATCCTTTTCCAGTTTGCAATGGTTTACTCTTGACAATTGGATTGCTACTATTGTTGATTCACGACGTTCACCCTTGGCTCCTGACAAAACTTCCAACCATTCATCGTACCGTCCGTCAACGCAGTAGTCCGAGGATTAGACTCAAATTTTTTGATGGAGAAACGCCAAAGAATGCCTGGAGAGAAGACGGACTTTCAACGATAAGAAGCAATTCAAAATCAAAAGCTGCGATGCTTGCTGAGGAATTACAAATATTTTTTCAACTGGTCTTAGCTTCTGTTGGTATGAGCATCCTTTTGATTTCATGGGAGGATGTTTCAATGTCACACCCAATGCGGATAGAATATTCAATCTTGTTGTCGTCGTCTTCGTCGACTTCAACTCCACAATCTTCATCGTCCCTCTTTGTTCCGTCTGGGATTACGCAGCGATGGGGACGCTCAACTGTGCGAGGTATGGCCTCCGGAGGTCGAGAGCGTCAAGCCATTGTTACAGCAGCTGATCTTGAATCGAGTACTAACAATGATTTGCCATCATATAACGAAGTCATGCTGGCACATCGCACAGAGAGAATACCATTGTGGAATGCAGAGGAGGGAGAAGTTCCGCCAACTACCAGAGAGAGTGTTTTCGATTCGGTTAGGCAGGTTCAACTCGCACTGCTGCGAATAAGAGACTGCCAGGAGCTTGCTAGGAATTACGAATGGGACGAACTCAAAGCAATCTTAGACGAAAATGTTTTGCGCAAAGATCTTGAAAAATCATGTTACGTTCTGAAAAGAGCCGATGAATTTCTCTCTCGGGAAGCCAGAGATGAAATTGGTTTTGACTGGGGAAGTTGTGCCTGGCGACATTGCGGTGCATTGAGCGATGCCCAAGAAGCTATTGATGCTTTGCAATATCAAGTGGGTATGCTTGAACCCTTCGAGTGCATCTATGTGCTTGATGTGGTCGAGAGGAGCTTGCGTGATATTCTCGCCGTTACAAACAATTATCGTGATGTTACCTTAAAAATACCGGAATACGTCCCGATTCAACGCATGAGCGATTTATCTAGCGAAGAAAACGAGGATGTTTTGGATCGACAGGACCAAGAGTACATGGATACGCTAGCCTTTCTCAGAAACATCTCAAGTTAAGCCAGCACGTTATGCCTGTCGATAACAATTTTGAGTAGCACGTACTACTGCGCTTGATTTATTTTATGAGTCAAACCATATTTATCATCAAAATCGTCCTCTACTAGAATTGACGCCCACAACTGCTGACCAAGAAGTTCTTTCAGCGAAACGATTGCAGAATCCCTCTTGTCGTCGTTTCGAGTTTTTCAAGTTGGTGGTACTTCGCCAATCGAAATAAGAGATTGATTTCGGATCTCCCCTGTTCTGGAGAAATATCCAATTTCCAATCAGCTGAGCATTGCGAAACCTTTGCGAGCAGATGCGTAGAGACACGATTGGTTTTTGTACATCGTAAGTCTTGAAGTTGATATCGGAGCATCTTTTTGTGAGCTTGGTCAATCAAGCGACGCTCTATTGCGTCAACGTCGTACTCTGCCCCACAATTCTCGCAGAACCAGTGGATTTGTGTTTCTTCGTCTTCTTCAACAGGGGGTATGTAACAAACATTGACATCCCGACTTTCTTGGCACTCTTTGCAATAACAATCAGGGAGCATCATTGTAGGACACGGATTCTGCCATTTTGCCATACTTGAATACTCAGCTACGCCAATCTGGGCCAATAAACTTCGTTTCAAAACATGAATCTCTTTGCCTACTTCATCATCAAGCTCAAGGATTGCAATCACGGACTTCACAAATTCCAACATTGAGTTGTTTGCACCATCACTTGACGTCAGGAGATTCCTACGTGACAAATCATTGTCGTTGTTTCTATTGTCTTCCTCCTCTTTTACAATTTCGCCCACTGCTCGCGTAAGGGTAGATGCAAATWGTTTAGAAATCATCTTCTTTTTGTAGGCCAAGACCTCCTCGTTCAACTCCATGTCGAAGAGAGAAGGCAAACCAACATTTCCATTCTTATTTCTCAACTCCGTTTCCTTCTTCAGTACATCCCTGGAAAATCTACCAACAATAATTCTAAAATATTCCTCTGCAATTTCGCTACCCATGTAATTCATCAAACTCCATGCTGTGACAACAGATGGGACAACTACTGCCTCTTGGTTGGAGTCATCTTCAATAAGAAAGCCCCCCCTGACATCATCCTTGTATTCACGATTCAACTGCATTGTTCCAAAGTTGTATTCATCCATGAAAAGCAAATGAGTGTGATATTGCCTTGGCCGAAGCTCTACACGCGCAAGTCCCGAAGAACTTTCTCCATTTTCTCCAATATGGCTCCGAATCGTTGAAATTACGAAGTTAATATATTCTTCTGCATCTTCAAGGGATGACTTGTTAGTAGCCACAGTAATTTTGTGGAAATTTGCATACACGATAATGCACCCAAGGCGTTGAAGCTCTCTCAAGAGGCGCATAAAGGTTCCACGCATTAGAGAGTGCAAAGCACGGTGTAATGCCGGGTCGTGCATCAGTGCCTCGGGGCTTGAGATAAGACGATAGATATTGTGTAACATGGAGTCAGCCACCGAGCTGTTGGATTTAGATGCGTCTCTCAGCCAACCTTCCACCAGTGCCCTGACCATAGGTAATGATGTGGCAGTTGACATTTCATCACCAAGCGGTTCAGACAACTTAAACGCTCCCCCGGAGCTTTCAGATTGCATCACACTGGTAGGAGAACCAAAATCATTCTTCACTCTCGTATTGATTGCCAAATTTGCGGTGTCAGTAAGTGCTGCAATTGCAAGATACTGCAAATCTATATCAACACAAAGCGTCCGATAAGAGCCCGGGCGGCGGATAACTGGGCTCAGAAGCTCGTTTTCGTCGCTCCAAATATCTTCACTGTTGACGCCATCTGACCCCACTAGTTGGATTGAAGGTCTGAACTTTCCATCCGAAGAGGGGAAGAATGAAGCTCCCAAGTCTGGTTGCCCCGACACAGTGCTAGCCCATGAGACTGCTCGGTTTTTGGATATCATTCGATTCAGGCTTGAATCATAAAGGGTTAAGTTCTCCTCATCGCCTAGATTTCCAATCGGCAAATTGCCATACCTCGCATATTCCACTCTTTTCGGGAACGAAACTACACTCATGTACAAGTAAGCCTCAAGGCAACGTTGAACAATTGGTTGCTCCCAATTAAGTGCAGGAAGAGAAGAAGCTACAGGATTATGCTCGGGACCAGGAGGGAAGGGTGAAGAAATAGTTGGCAACGAGTTCAGACTGGGAATGAATCTTCGTAGGTGGGTGAGTGATCGACTACTGGTAACAACCATGAAGGTCTGACCACTGTTGGACTGCAAATACTTGTTAACAGATTCATTGGCAGTAGAATAAGCCACATTTTCCTCGTCAACAAAAGTCAAATCAGTTATGTCACACTTGCTTGCCTTCGATACACAAGAGTACTCAGATTCGAAGTCATCTTCTTCAATTGTAATAGTTGCAAGCAATTCCGAGAAAAGCTCGCTAGCCTGCCTTTTTGATACATTTTTCTGCCCCATACTAGATCCAGGTCTTACAATCCACAGCTGGCATGAGGTACTGATGTCGAATGAGTCAATTCCAGATTTGCTAGGTACCGTGAGATCATTATCTCCAACCCTCTGTTTGCCACTCCCTCCTTCGATAGTGAATAAGGCTACCAATCCTGTCTTCGATGTCGGATTTATTCTCACGTAGAGAAAGCAACGCTTGTATGTGAGCGTATTGTTTAGATAATACCCTTCAGTTGGTTTATTCACCATTTTTAGATCCCGCAAGTTAAAAGATTTTTTGTTTTTCTTTGAACCATTAACTTGGGAAAACTTTGAAATGGAGCCAAGCTGTGATAAAAGCTTCGACATCAAGGGGGCACTAGTTTCATACACCTCCCTCAAGATTTTTTTCCGGTCTTCGAAATTTTTGTCAAGAGGAACGATACTTGATGTCCAATTCGACTGCGTGTAAACAAATTCAGGCATCGTCAACTCATAAAGGAATTGAACATTCTTACTGTGAGGGAGATGTTTATCGACCTTTCTGAAGTCAATTTTTTGTTTCAAATTACAACAGACTTCTGTAGTTGTCGAAATGTAGATTGTTCTGGGGACTGAAATTTGTATTTTTCTCAGAGAGCCACCCACCATAACCCACGCGATAAATTCACCAGACGAAGACTTCTTTCTCTTGCCCGTATCGTGTGATGTCATCTCTCTGAGCTCAATTATTTGCCATTCTTTCTGGCTTAGATGCAAGCTTGCCTCTTTAACAAAGTCTTCTAAGGTCGACATAGACTTCTTTGAATGGGTTCCAGTTTGACTTGATTGGCTTTCTCGATTGTCTGTCAATCGAGCAATTTTCCGTTGATTCCGAGACTTTCTCCACAGCTTCTTTTTCTGAGTCAACCAGCTGCTAAAGTTATCCCCTCCGTTAGTTAGTTCAATTCGATCTTCATCCTCTATTTGTTCATTTTCGTCAGCTTCGGTTATTTCCTTTAACGTTCGTTGACTGGGACGCTTCGTCTTATGCACTACAGGACGACCTACTTTGCTAGGGACAGACCCACTGACAATATCTTCAATATCCATTGGGACTGGAGGAATCGATTCATTTGAATTATTGGAAATTTGTGCCATTCCCTTCTTTCTACCAAACATGGAGAGAATGCTTTTCTGCTGGTATTTGTCATTCATCTGCTGTACTTTAGAAAGAAGCCATGCTGGATGTGAAACCCGAGGGACGGGATTTCGAACTTTCTGTAGCGCTGCTGGAATTGTTATGATCTTTTGAATATTTTTCGCCAATCTTTCCATGTAGTAGTCCCAGTCTAGAATATTTCTAATATCAAAACCATCGCCATCGATAGCCGGTGATTTTAACCATTTTCGAAGGAAATGTCTCATAACAGCAGGCTCCGCCTTCCAGATAGCTGTGGGGATTGCTCTCTCAGTTACCGGTGCACCATACGGTTGTTCCGCAATGATAAATTTGCAGTTCAATCCCTTATCTTTGATGATTTCTGCCCCCAAGAATTCACCTAAACGACGTGCAGTCGTTTGGGAAGTTCCCTTCTGATCCCCATAATCCGCAAGCTGACGGCTCATGTTGCGATTCTCACTAATCAATTCTACAAGTTCATCATCGTCAAGAGACTCCCCACGGGTATCAATAACGTCAATCCAATGATTGGCAACTTCGGCAACGCTATCGTAGCATTCCTCTAGCGAATTACCATCAAGGAAACGCTCAAAAATCTGTGACTGAAATGTCTTGATCAGCTCAAGCTCTCCTCGACGCTTCAACTCAAATCCTTTGAGTTCTGCGAGAGAACCATCAAAATTGAAAACGGCGTATCTCTTTTTCAACAGCTTTCCTTCTTCAGTACTAGAGGGAATTACCATACACCTGTATGGGCCGTCGACCTCGAAAAAGATGGAGTTGTCACTTCTGGTTTCATACACGCCTCGCTTCGGATCTTTCAGTGTTTGATATTGATGGTTTGTAAAGTTGTCATGAACATCAGCATTCAACATAACACAGGGATATTCAAGCTTCAGCTTTGAACCGTCTCGGCCCTTGAATGTGTATATGTCTGGGAAACTCTTTGGAAGAATGCACCAAATACCATCAGTATCCAACTCCAAAGGCCGACCAATTTGCTCGACTAGAACTCGAGCTTGAGTAATAAGATCAGCCCCATTTTTTGTCACTATTCCTGCCATTTCCATGGACCTCCATCTTGCTCCTTTTCTCATCACGTAACCGTAAAATGAGTTGAGAATACATTTATGAGCGACTTGTAGACTATCATACACAAGCGCCTTGTCTTCAGCCTCTTTCTTTGACACAGCATCAGATGCACTCCCAATTCTTTTCTTCCACGTTTTCGTCATCTTTTTGTAATCATACCTTCGATCACGAAATCGACGGACTGTTTCAACATAAAAGTCATTTTCTCTCATGCAAACGATGTCCTTTCTAGTAACCTCTTCCGTAATTTTTGTGCGTCGGTATACATTTCTCGAGTACTCCTTCAATCTAGATGCAACCATTTGCTCCTGTTCGTTACTTGCTAAATCTTTGAAGTGACGCCCGTCTGCCATTGTCTCACGCGAGAGTTGATCCTTTATTCGCTTGTATTCTTGTTTTCCTGATGGACTATAATCTCCTCTCCACACCCATTCCATCCGACGTTTGCAGTCATTCTTTGCTTGATTAAAATCACAGGCAGCACATGTCGCATCGTCAACGATGGCACTCGGTTGCAGTCGATTACTGAGAATGATGTTTGGATACATCGCACCCACATCTAAATGGTAAATGTAAGGATTCTCAACTCGCTTCGGTCGATCGCGCAATAGCTCAAGAGCTTCGATAATCTTCGAACGAACTTCTTCGTAGTTTGTAATTTCGGAGCGATCAATTCCCGCCTCAACTTCTATGGCAAAACACAAATCTCTGTCGATATTATCGATAAGCTGCTGGAACGCGCTGGGAACCAAATCGAATTCATACTGAACATCACTGCGATAAACACCAGTCTCCAAACACTCGACTTTTCCACCAATATAAGTTTCGCTCTCTAACAAGTGCCCTTTGTGAAATTTCGCCAAGGGATCGACCTGTTTATTTGGACAGATGATATCCAAATCGTTTGCCTGTACCATCAATAAAATTTCACAGAGCGTTCCAGATCCCTTGCGCAATACATCGTCAGGCCCAAATGGAATAAGAGTACACAGACTGAAAATGAACAAGTGAACATATTTCTCGTACAGATAGTAGGTCGCCACGGCATCGGATACAGAGTATGTCGCCATGTGTACGGGTCGTTCCATTGCCATAGGAAGCATGTCTTCTGGGTCGACTTCGACGGGATCGTATCCCAACTTGTACTTAGTCACAGCTTTCAAACCCTGTGATCCTTGGGGAAGATACGAATCTCGTTGAACCCAAGAGAATGCGTCCATGTGAACGCAACACTTCCCACGAAATTCCCCCTCTTGATCAGATCCACCGCCTCCGCCAAGCATACAAATACCAATTTCCGTCCACAAGTCAATATCGTAGCTGTTGGCTCGCTTCTGCAAAAAAGGCCAATCAAAGAAGTCACCGTTAAAAGTGACAACAATTTGCGGAGTGTACTTTTGGAACTCTGTGATGAATCTTGCAATCAAGGCCTTTTCGTCTTTTTCGTTGAATATTTTGAAGGGCCCGGGATACTTGGGCTTAGGAGTATATTCGAAGTCGGCAATGTCTTCAGAGACGATAGATCGGGACGTAATTAAATAACCCTGTGGCGTTCCTTTTCCGTCCGAGCACATATAAGAAATCATGTAGATCTCGTCCACATCAGCATTTGGAAACTTGAGGGGTGCCTTGCTACACTCAATGTCGAAAGCAAGTACACGGGGGGTTGCTTTGGTTTCGATATCTGGATCGGACAATACAGGGTGAGGTGGGCTCGCATCATCAGTTTTTTCCAACGTGACGGTATACCATGTTCCTGCACGGATGTTATTGTCCATGCATACTCTGGCGACGTAAGGAACATCGTATTCCCGAAGTTCTTGAATGTTGGTCCACGAGTCCAAGACACGCCCCGAGTCCTGTGACGACAAAATGCTGTTTATGTCCACGCTTTCGTTGTTACCATACCCATTCCCATTTTCGTTGTTGGTATTGCTTTCCTGGGATTTGAGCATGTCTCGAAGCTGGTTTCTAACGTCCATGAGTTGAGAAACGTTTTGGAAAATGAGTTTCCATACCATTCGGTGTGTGTGCTTCGGAGAAAGATGATTGGGTGCTTCAAGATCTCTCATTGCAACCTGCTCAACGTGAGCGAGGACACCGGCGAACTTCTTTAGTAACAGCTGCCCCAAAGTTTCGTCTTCTTTTTTGGTCAAGAGGAAAAAGTACGGACGATGCAGCACAGTGGTCTTAAAGTTTCCTCCATCGCTGTCGACGAAATACAAGTCCAAGCCCGACAATTCATCTCCGCTGCTGGAATCGATTCTCTAAGTTGGAGGGAAATCATTGAATACAGTATAAGTTTTGAGAAACAATCGCATACAACAACATAATATAGGAAAACCCGAATGCAATGGCGCAGTAAAGACTTGATCCGGACTTAGGTACAGCAAGATTTCGTAATGAAATGGAGTGTCCGATCCAATTCATGCCATCGCTACTGGTCTTAGTTAGGTCCAATACGTACCGTTGTTGCTGCCATGTTGAATAGCCAACCTCGACGTTGTGTCAGCTTGTTAACAGCTGCGCCATCTCCGCCTTCTGCTCTAAGAGCCAAATCATTTTGCCGTTCTTGAAACTGATCCTCAAGACGATGGTATCCAAACTTCGAATCAATTCTTTCGCTCTGCTCTTGGCGCACACGACGTCGGGCAGCTGCCTCTTCGGCTTTAGAGATATTTTCGCTTTGCAGCTGCTGCTGCTGGTTCCCCTGGCCGAACTGACGTTGATAACGAGATGCCCCCGATGATTTGTTCGACTTTTTCATGGTCTGGCCGAATTTCTTGTTGTTGTACTGCCCCATCCTGTGCAATTCGATCGATCAGCGTGATTCACTCTAGTTCCTTATACTGAATGCTCTTGATTGTAGTTTGCGTATCTTTAGTCACAACTATTACTTCGTATTGTGTAACGTCACAACGATTCCAACCATCTCTGACAATGACAACGGAGTCGCGGAAATGAGTTCGGCTTCAAATCAGTACAGTACGTACGCTTACAACGTTACAGTAAATTTGGCGGTGGGATAGAGTTACGAGTATTGTACTGAGCATTGGTGCTGAGGATTTATTTCCTCAAAAACGCCTGAAGAATAAAGAAAGTGCTATGCTACTTTTTACCCGTAACGCAACGTAAGGAACAGGACGGTACGTACAGGTAGTAACATAGCGTAACGTACTACTGTAATTTCGAGAAAAATAGACGTGAAAAGACTGACATTTCGAAGAGGGGCGCCAAATTGATTGCATAGGAAGTTCGCGCCATTTTTTTGAGATCATTCGACTCTGACGACTGAAATATGTACGGTATGTAGGGCAGGGGTCATAATTTAGAGGGGTGCGCGACAGTTTTTTTTCTCGTGCTGCAGGATCAGAATTTCATTGGGCGATTCCCGTTAATCTAGATGGTCTACTTTTCGACGGACAGACGGACCAAAAATAGACCATCTAGTCCAATTTTTTAGACTTTCTGTCAACGCAGGAGCCTGCGCTGACAAAAAGTCTAAATCTAGACCGGAATCCAAGAATGAAAATCCGTTGTAGGACTCAACTGAAAAGACCTGCCAAATTTAAGACAAAGAATTTTTACTACGTTACTAAATCTTTTCTTAAGAAAAATCTTTCCTTAACAAGAATGAATAAGAAAGCGCCGGCGCCATCCTCATGGTCGAAGACATAAAGACAGAAACAAAGATGTCCCCTGTCTTAGTCACTGTTCTATACATTAGATTGAAACAAAGAGAGGACCAACTGCTGGAGGCCGTGTATCAAGCAACGCGAGGGGAGGAGATCCCTTACACAATATTCATTCCGAGAGCAAAGATGCCTTCCCCTACTGGCCCTTATGCAACTATTCCTCCTTGCAATGGAGGACGCTTCCCTCCAGCAGCAGCACCTGTTCCTCCCCCGGGAGGTCAATCAAAAGTAGAGGGTTCGGGCCGTAAGGCTGGTACTTCAAACTACTCAGAAGAAGAGCTCGTCTCATTGATGACTCTCATCAAGGAGATTCTTCCCATTGGTAAGGGAGACTGGCTCATGGTGGTTCACAGACATGGACAAGTCTGGCCTGGAAGAACAAAGGATTCCATCAAGACCAAGTTCAATAGGCTGAGGAGAATGAAGATTCCTACTGGGAATCCCAACATCCCTGAGTCCATACGCCTTGCAAGAGAGGCCCACCGGTTGATTGGGATCAAGGCAAATATTGGTAATGGAGAGGAGACCTTTGATCCAATCAAAGGTTACATCGATGATGAGGATGATGAGGACTTGGATGAGGGGAACTTGCAGTACGCTTTGACTCCAAAAGCAAGCAAATCAAGCAAAACAGCATCGACTTCCGACTCGATGACGCCCATTGTCGTGACAGTACCGACACCAAGAAAGAGACCTTATGGAAGACTGAAGAAGGAAATTGCTGAACAGGATGCTGTTCTTAAGGATTACCTCATGCAACAGGATAAGAGGGAAGCTGCAAGAGACAAGAAGGCTGATGAGAGGGAAGCTGAAAGAGCAAAACGCGAAGAGGCGAGAGACGAACATTGGCTTACCATGGCTCAAACAATCGCCTCCTCAATGGCATCCACAATGGCCAACACAGTGGCCTTGGCGCTCACCACCAGTAACAAGCGCCCACGCTCTGATTCCCATGGTGAAACCAACTAATTTTTGATCCTCTTGTTAGCAATACTAATTAGCGATTACACGGTTACGATTCAACATACAGCAAACAGCAAACAAAAAGCAAAATAATGAGTCCGCTGATTAGCAATATTAGTTCTTTCTTACTACGCGTTACACCGCGTTACGCCGGTTACACTGCGTTACGCCGTGTTGTTCCAAATTTTTGCCGTATCGGTTTTCTTGCATACCTTTCGTGGGAGTCGATGTAACTGGAATATACTGCAATGAAGAATAATATCTTCAGAGGAAGATTATATAATGCAATGAAGACATATGATACGACCAATGCATGTGAGTGCCGATCAATGCATGTGTTTTGAAGTCAACCGGCATGTATTTCGAAGGCGAACCCCGGTTCGTGGGATTGCATCACGCGTGCTTGTTATGAATTCCGTTGGTTCTAGTCCCGGTTATCATTGTTACTCTCTTCAAAATAGGAACAACACTGTGTAACTATCAGCAAAATACGGAACAACACGGTGTAACGCGTGCTAGTAATGAGGAGTACTCAACTGTAACTGTGCTCACTATTTCCCGTTACTGTAACACGAAACTAATGAATGATACGATCCGTCGTTAGGAACTAAACAGACCTCAAGCAAACTAACCATCCCTGGCCCCACCATGTTGGAGTATCAGTTCTGTAAGTGCTTAATCGTTGCGTCTGTTGCGTCTGTTGCGTCAAATCGATACGGAAATCGATACCAAAATCGGTACCGAATCATCATTGGATCGCGTTGGATCGACGTCGAATTAATCAGTCTCTAATGAATCTAACATCCTTTTCTTTGACCATGGGAATTATTCACAGAATACATTGTTTCCAAATGGAGACGACTCCCTCCCTGGATGGAAGTATCCAGCAGCAAGATCCTGGAGTTCATGTGGCGTTCCCATTGCCTCGCGGGTCGCCGGCGGCGTCTTCATGAAGACTGTCAAGATCTGGTTGTGCCCAATGGTACTGCATTGGTAGTTGTACAAGCAAATCATCAAGTGAATGATCACCTTCCTCTCCCCGAAGTCCTCCAATCTAAGCCTATCCTTCATCCTTGGGAACTGTCCCTGGATCATCCTCATCMCCCACTCAGACATCTGCCTCAGCGATGTGGCGTCCCTATTCATTAGGAGCTATTCTCCCTCACCCTCTGGATCATTCTGAGAGCTTTGAATGAGGAAGTCTCTTCCCAACAAGCCAAATGCTGAATCAACAACACACTTTGCTCCTCCAGCAGAGTCTCTGTCCACTTGAGCAAGCTTGTCGTAGACTCCGTAGTCACTGATGGAGCTGTCGTGCCACGTGCCAGGGCAATTGAATACTCCAATACGTATCCTACCATCAGGTGCAAAAACAAACACCCCATTCACGTAAGTATTTGCCTTCCATCCGTTGAAGAAGATCTCTTGTTGAAGCCAGTCCTCTGAGGTCTGGATCTCTGTTTTGAGCCCATCTGCTGCTGCCCACACGCGTTGTTCTCCAAGTCTTGGATATTTTGCTCCAATTGCCCTAACATACTCATTGATTTCTTGCACACTTGGCAGACTGACCATGGCGAGTGGATGTTTGTGAAGCACTGAAAGAAGGATCCTCATGGAAAACTTGAGCCACTTGTACATCACTGTGGATGTAAGACCAAACGCCATTGCTATTCCTCTTGCAACCAACCCTCTAGTCCTGTACCAGAAGAGCACTAGCCCAAGACAACAAGTCGCGTCAGCCTCTCTTGGCTTTCCTTTCTTTTTTCCACTCCTAGTGGGGGGAGGAAGGAGAACAATCTCATTGTTTTTGATTGAGTATCTATTGAAAGTGGGACCAAATAGCTCAAGGAGATCCCTGAAGACCCTGTGGTCTACACCACAGCAGTTGAGAAGCGCTTGGTCACAACCAGACTGGAAGAGGAACAGGAATGGGGAGTCTGCATATCTCCTAATTGCAATCCTAGGCGTTCTTCTGTCCTTCCTGCGTCTCTCCTCCGGGGTCATCTGTTTTTCTTCCCATTCCTCTACCAAGCGTCCTCTACGCTTGATTGCCCAGTATATGCAAAGTGTCTCAATGACTCCCATCGTGTCTCTTTTCTTTGCTGGGAGGCAACTACTGTCTTTTGTTTAGGATATCTTTTGTTTAGGATACGGTGGAGTTTATGAATAGATTTATTTCATGTACTAGAAAATTTCAATACTATTGAAAATTTCGTGTTTTAATTAGTACCAGCGGGCGCGGTTTCCAGTCTTACTAGTCTTTTCTGTTGAGATTCCAAATTCCTTTGATACCAGAAAGAGCGCCTAAAATTGTCCGTTGGGCCCCTGTTTTTTATGATTCCCGTTAATCTAAATATCTATTTTAGACTTTTAGACTTCTAGATTAACGGGAATCGCCCATTATTCCATGTGTGTCCRAAATTGGAAATGTCACCCCAGGATTTTTTGACAACTTCCCAACTTTTCATGAGGATTCTGAATATGCCAATATGTTATGTATCAAATGAAATGATAGTGTACCTTTTCACTGTTGAATATTGACTAGATTATTAGTAGAAATTACTACTGGGGAATTAGTGGGAGAATTGGATGAAGGACAGACAGTCCAAATTTTTGCAAAGGACTAGACTGGTGGGACGACTGACTGGACTAAGGACAGACTATTTCTACTGCAAATAAAGTACTAGTAGTCTGTTACTACCACCAGCCCTGTGTCAGCACCTTAAAGTTTAAAATGCAGACAACAGTAACACCCAGCAAACACTTACTACTACTTGACTCTCAACCATATGAGAGATGTGAATGAGAAGTTTGAAAATCAGAGAGTGATTGGAAGTGTTCCTGTGCATGGGCGGGGTCTTTCAGGTACACTTTTTGCAGTGATATGCAGTAAAACTGAAGTTTTCAAAAAATCCTGGGGTGACATTTTCCAATTTTGTACACACATGGAATATGAGTTTTGATGCAACGCACACCCCTCTAAATTATGACCCCTGATGTAGGGTAGGGTCATACCGGTAATTTAGAGGGGAGCAAGCGCATCRAATTTTGTTCTCCATCATTCCACGTGTGGTCCAAATTTCCAAAAAGTTACCCCAGGATTTTTTTTATTCTCATTTTTACTACAGTAATAATACTAGTAGTGCACGAGATTACGTGTACTCTTAGTAGGTGTTAAGTGTGTATGAAAATTGAATTATAAGATTAGATAT